CCCCAGCCCTCCCCCAAAAAATGAGGAAACCGAGCAACTTGCTCCGAGTTTTGCCGCCCGGGCCGCCTCGGGGTGCGCAGCCGGCTTGCGGGGACCCTCCTGGGGGCGGGCGCGCAGTTCAGCCCGGGGGCGCCCCCTGAACAGGTGAGTGCGTCCGCGGGGAGTGGGAGAAGCGCCCCAAGGCGGGTGGGGATCCCAAGGGCTCCGGGGGGCGCAGCACGGGTGCTGGAGGGGCGCGTGGCGAGGACGCGACTGGGGCGGAGGGTGGCAGAGGCGATCGCGCGTGGCGCGCGGTGCGCGAGGTATTTTCTGGGTGCGGCGTGCGCAGCTACGAGCTCCGGGAGTGGATCGGCGCGTCCACGTGGAGGGCTGTGCGCGCGTGTCCGAGATGCGTGTGCGCGGCCCTGCGTGGAGCTCTGCGCGCCCGCGTGGCCCGGCGTCTGGCGCCCAGGTGTTCAAGTGTGGGTCCGTGTGTGTGATGGGGGCGGGGGACAGGTGCACAGGTTCTCTGGTGTCAGTGTCTGTGCGTGTGTCCACACGCGTGCTTGTGTGCGCACACCTGCCCGCAGGTGGGCGCATGCCTTTGCTTGCACACCCAGCCTGGGTGCCTGCAGGTACCTGTGTCTGAGCCCCTATGTTTTCTGTGTGCTGTGTATACATCGGATTCGTGTGTGTACACCAGGGAAGGAGGACTTACGGGGTGGGGGGAGGCATACAGAAGATGAAACTCACCCCCAAACCTCTCCCCTGCCCACCGGTGGTGGTGACATGGGAGAGGCAGCCAGGGTCTCCCACCCCAGCAGCAAGGGACTTTGGTATGTCTGTCCTGAGTTAGGTTGAGGGGGAGGGGAGGAGGCCACAGAGGAACTTCTGGTGACCCAGGAGGTGGCAGGGCTGCATGGCCTGCCTCCTGCCCCCATCCGCCCTGGGTGAGAGTCTTGGGAATGACCTTGACTCATCTGTGGATTCCTCACCCTGGCCCTGCCCTCTGACCAGAAAAGAGGAAGAACCAGGCTCAGTGGGGTGGCACCACACTTCTTACACACTGTGCTAGATACTGGTTCTCAGCCACTCAGTCCCACAACCCCATCCTGTGTCCACTGGCTCTATGCCTTTCCTGTGCCTCACTTTCCCTTTGTGGGCAATGGTAGGGTGAAGCTCTGGCTTCTTGGCCAGCATTTTGCAACTGTGACTCAGCTGAGGATCTCTCTAGGGTAAAGATCATTCCTTCAAAGGGACTGGGGAGAGCCAGTACCCCGGCTCCACTGGGATGCCTTTGCGGGGGGCTCTCCGACTCCTGCCTCTGTCCCACCTGGCCCACCCAGACAGAAGGAACTGGATCCTCAGGCCCCAGCCTAGCTGGAATCCGGGCTCCCCTACTTGACCCTACACCCCTCTCCAGGTGAGCCTTCACTTCTACCAAACCTGGCACTCCGGCCCATCACAGCCAGGATGCCTACGGTGAGTACCCCCTCATGGGTGCCTCTGTCCCCAGCCCTTCTTCCTCATGGTCCCCACCCCAGTGGAAATGGACCCACAGAACTCAGCTCCACAGCCCCAGGTCTGTGCGTGCTCCCTGTGCCTTTCTGATCTTGGTCCTGGGCCCCTTCTGCTTATGACCCTGGTATGTCTTAGCCACTTTCTCTGTCTCTCTCCTCCTGCCCCTGGCCCTCCTGTTCTCTTCTATTTTCTGTCTCCAATATCCCTGTCTCTCCCAATTTCCATTTCCGTCTCCCTCTTGTCCCCTCTCCTCCATCTCTACTCTCTGCACATCTCCTGATGCCCCAGAGGCGCTGGGCTCCTGGCACCCAGTGCATCACCAAGTGTGAGCACTCGCGCCCCAAGCCAGGGGAGCTGGCCTTCCGCAAGGGCGACGTGGTCACCATCCTGGAGGCGTGTGAGGTGAGCGTGGCTGGAGGGTGCACCTGGAGTGAAGGGGACTCTACCAGGACCAGCACCAACCTGTCCCTCCCTCCCGGACAGAACAAGAGCTGGTACCGTGCCAAGCACCACGCCAGTGGGCAGGAAGGGCTGCTGGCAGCTGGCGCACTGCGGGAGCGCGAGGCCCTCTCTGCGGACCCCAAGCTCAGCCTCATGCCGTGAGTGGTGGCCGGCCCCGGGTGGGGGTCATGTCCCAGCTCGGCCCACGCAGCATCTCTGCCCCCGCCCCCCCCAGGTGGTTCCATGGGAAGATCTCGGGCCAGGAGGCGGTGCAGCAGCTGCAGCCGCCCGAGGATGGGCTGTTCCTGGTGCGGGAGTCCGCCCGCCACCCGGGTGACTACGTGCTGTGCGTGAGCTTTGGCCGTGATGTCATCCACTACCGCGTGCTGCATCGTGATGGGCATCTCACCATCGACGAGGCCGTGTGCTTCTGTAACCTCATGGACATGGTGGAGGTGCCCTGCGGGGACAGGGTGGGGCCCAGAGGCGCGTGTTCCCCATGTCCAGGGGATGATGGCAAGGCTGCTCCCCAGGGACTACAAGCCCCTACCCCCCAGGCTGTGGCAACTTTGTGGGTCTGGGAGCCCCAGAGTCTTGTCCCCCCTTCCCTGCCCAATGCAGAGATGAGAGGCTGGTCCCCATGGGCTGTGGACTCCACAGGTGGCCTGAATAATCCTGGATCCAGGATTGGGGTGACTCCTCTGGGGACCTCCAGAAACCACAGGACACCAATCCAGAGGGCCCCCCAGAACCTATTCTGCATCTTTTCCCATCCCCATGGAAACCAGCCCACCTCTGGTGGGACCCAAACCCATCTCCCCAGATCCTGCCTGCCCCACCCAGAGACCACCTGGGAAAGGGACAGGTTTAGGGGTGCCCTGCCAACTTCATGTTCACCCCTGCCTGTCCCACAGCATTACAGCAAAGACAAGGGTCCCATCTGCACAAAGCTTGTGAAGCCCAAGAGGAAACAGGGCACCAAGTCAGCTGAGGAGGAGCTGGCCAAGGGTAGGGAACCCCTCAAAATAGTGGGAAAGGACCCCTCACTTCCCATGTGGCCCTGTCCATATCCAAGCCCCGAATGGGACCAAGCTTGTCCCCTCAGCTGGCGCTGTGGGACAGAATGGGAGACCAGAGCTGCCATGGGTCAAGCAGAGGACATCACAAACACAGACTAGGTCCATAGGGAAGAGTCCCATGCCTGCTTGCCTCTTGTCCCATCATCCATCACGTCATCTGAGCCAGAAATCTGGGCCTGAACCTTGTACCACCCCAGCCTCCACCTCCCCTCCAAGGGCAGTTCCATTAATGTCAGTTCATCCTTTCCTTGCCCCAAAGCTCCTTCCCACACCCTCCCATCAGACCACCTCCTTCCTCAGTCGGGGGAAGTCTCCCTTCCCCCTGTATGGGGCCCCAAGACCTTTCTGTTACAAAAACACACCCATGCCATGCCCTGCTCAACACTTCCATGGACACCTGGAGGGAGACCTGGCAACCCCGCCACCTTCTAGAGCCTTCCCACATGGGTGGAAGTACATTTCCAGGGTTGTCCACAAAGCCCTTCCCCCATTCCTGCACGCCCCAACCCTCTCATGCCTCTGTGCCATTGTAAATTCTGTTCCCTTCACCTGGAATGCTTTTCCAGCTGTACCAAGAGAGGGGAGTCTCGGACACAATCTTAGGGGTGCTACTGGGAGTGTGTTTCCCGGGCTGGGGCGCTGGGAGGCCACCACTTACTCTGTTGCTGGGTGCGGCCATCCCCCCCCCCAACTGGGTCTTCGCTCCCCCACAGCTGGCTGGTTGCTGGAGCTACAGCATCTCACGCTAGGAGCCCAGATTGGAGAGGGAGAGTTTGGAGGTGAGACGGGGGGACTGAAGGCAGGGCGTGTGTGGCAAGGGACCCAGTCCCTGTTTGCCACCACGCTGTTACGTGTTGGAGGACAGGCACAGGCCTTCTCTGAGTCTGTTCCCCCGTCATGGGCTCACAGGGAGTAAAAGAGCCCAAGTGGGCACCGGGAGATCAGCCATTCCCTCTGCTTCCAGCCTTGGGTTTTGGGTCTCTTTGCTTGGAGCATCAGTCCCTGGAATCCTTATTCTGGAAAGCTCTGGGCTTAGGTCAGGGGTCAGCCAGCTCTGTAAAGAGCCAAAGCACAAATACAACCACTCAGCCCAGTGGAGAGACTGGCACAGATAATATGTAAACACTCGGGTGTGGCCCTTAGAGCTTTCTCTTTTTGGAGGCACTGGAGTTTGAACTTTGGCTTGCTAGGCAGATGCTGTAACACTTGAGCCACACCTCCAACCCTTTTTGCTTTAGTTATTTGTTTAATACGGTCTTGAGGTTTTGCAGGGGCTGGCCTGGACCTGTTTATGCCTCCTAAGTAGCTGGGATGACAGGCACACACACACCACATCCAGCTATTGGTTGAGATGAGATCTTGAGAACATTTTTCCCCAGCTGCCCTTGAACTATCCTCCTGATCTCCATCCTTCTGAGTAGCTGGGATAACGGACGTGAGCCACCAAGCCCAGCTCCTTAAAGCTTTTTGGTAGCACAGGAATTTGAATTCTACGTAATGTCCACGTGTCATTACATCTTTAGGGTGTTTTTCTTTCCTTTTTTTCTTTTTCTGTGGTGGTGGAGCTGGAGCCCAAGACTTCGCACATGCAAGGCAAGCACTCGGCACTGAGCCATACCCCCAGCCCCTTTGGCTTTTTTTTTGTGTGTGTGTGGTACTGAGGTTTGAACTCAGGGCCTACACTTTAAGTCATTCCACCGGCCCTTTTTTGTGATGGGTTTTTCGAGATAGGGTCCTGTGAACTATTTGCCCGGTATTTGCCCCAGCTAGCTTCCAATCACGATGCTCCTGATATCTGCCTTCCGAGTATAGCTAGAGCATTACTGGTGCGAGCCACTGGCACCTGGCTCTCTTTGGTGTTTTTGAATCATTTGAAAACACACGAGCCACCCTGAGCTCCAGGGCTGTGCCAAAACAGGGTATAGGGCTAGATTTGGCCCTCAGGTGTGGACGTCGGCAGACCTCTGGTTTCGATGGTTCTCTTTGATGGAGGTCTGAAGCTGGTACAGTCCCTTGGGCTGTACCAAGGTCTGGGGCCCCGAAGCCATGTTGGTGCACACAGCAATCAGTGAATCCATCTGTCCTGATTGATGTCAGTCCTGATTTCTGTCTCCCCACCCCTAGCCGTCCTGCAGGGTGAATACTTGGGGCAGAAGGTGGCAGTGAAGAACATCAAGTGTGACGTGACAGCCCAGGCATTTCTGGACGAGACAGCTGTAATGACGTGAGTCCCCAGGTGGGGTCAGGGCCCTGGGCTGGGGTCCTATGCATGTCCTCAACCCCACCTCCATTCTCTAGGAAGCTGCAGCACCGGAACCTGGTGCGGCTCCTGGGCGTGATCCTGCACCAGGGTCTCTACATCGTCATGGAACACGTGAGCAAGGTGCCCGCGTGGGGCAGCCAGGTGGGCAGATGGGAGTGGGCAGTGAGGGGTGGGCAGCCGGCAACCCCCCCATGTCTCTTATCCCCCACAGGGCAATCTGGTGAACTTCCTACGCACCCGGGGCCGGGCCCTTGTGAACACCACCCAGCTCTTACAGTTTTCTCTGTGAGTGTGGCTCCCCACAGGGACATGGGGTTCCAAGGTCAAGGGGAAACTGAGGCACGGGGCAGGAAACCTGACTGAGAGCCTCTCCCCAGTCACGTGGCCGAGGGCATGGAGTACCTGGAGAGTAAGAAGCTGGTGCACCGTGACCTGGCTGCCCGTAACATCCTCGTCTCTGAGGACCTGGTGGCCAAGGTCAGTGACTTTGGCCTGGCCAAGGCTGAGCGAAAGGGGCTGGACTCAAGCCGGCTGCCCGTCAAGTGGACAGCGCCTGAAGCCCTCAAACATGGGGTGAGCTCCCCTCCATTCCCAGGGCTTTGGGGTTACCCCAGAGCAAGCTTGGCATCCCAGCTGTGCCGTGTGACCCTGAACATATCACTTGGCCTCTCTGAATCTCCCCCCAGAAATGGCGCTACCTCTCCAGGAAGTCCGAAGCCCCCTCTTGGCCTCAGTTTCCCCATCTCTAAGCAGGCATGGGCTCACCCTGGAGGGAGAGACTAACAGGGCTTTCACTCTACAGAGTCTGACTCCCCTGGACTGTGGGGGACTTGGGGGAGGAGACTGTTGGGGGGAGATCAGAGAGCGAGGTGGCCCTGCATGGCTTCCTGGAGGAAGCAAGGCCAGGAGCAGGAACCCCAGGGGGACCCCTCTTCAACCAGACCTTGGGCCCCACAGAAGTTCTCCAGCAAATCGGACGTCTGGAGTTTCGGGGTGCTGCTGTGGGAAGTCTTCTCATATGGACGGGCTCCGTACCCCAAGATGGTGAGTGGGACTCAGGTGGTGGCAACTCCAGGTCTCGTGGCCCTGACCGGGCCCTGACCCACGCCACACACCCTCCATCTGCAGTCACTGAAGGAGGTGTCAGAGGCCGTGGAGAAGGGGTACCGCATGGAGCCCCCTGAGGGCTGCCCAGGCCCTGTTCACGCCCTCATGGGCAGCTGCTGGGAGGTGGAGCCCGCCCGCCGGCCGTCCTTCCGCAAGGTGGCCGAGAAGCTGGCCCGGGAGCTGCGTAGCACGGGCGCCTCGGCCCCCGTCGGGGGACAGGATTTGGACAACTGTGCTGCAACCCGAAGCCAGGAGCCCTGACCCCGCCCAGTGGGGCCAAGAGGACCAAGAGAGTGGGGGCCACAGGGCAGGGATGTGGCTGGGCCTGAGGAGGGTCAGGGCCAGTGACCGCCCTCCCAACCCCGGGCAGGGCAGGCCAGGCTGGGGGGCTCTGGGCAGCCACTGGACACCACAGACACAGGAAGCCAGGAGTCATTGCCTCCATAAAGACAGATTCCAAGGACTGTGGGCGTCTGTGTCTCTGTGACCTCCAGGGGCGGGGCTACTGGCTTTGGAGAACCACTCTGGGTGCTGTGTTCCCATCTACCCATGGAGCTTGCATCCATCTGGGGTCTCCCCATGCCTGGAGACCCCTATGGAACTCCCTAGTCATGGCCCCAAGCTGCTGAACTCCCTGCCCAACCAGACGGTGATGGAGTCACCGGGACCCTCTGACTCTGCTCTCCACCTCTGGCACCCAGATGGGTCCACATTGGGCCCTGCTGCTGTCCACAGAGGCCCACTGAGAAGCACCCACCCACTGGCCACCATGGGGATGCAGTCCCCAGGTAGCTTCCAGGCTGAGGACCCACTAGCCATCAGCCATGAGGTCCCCTGAAGGGATGAGGTATTTATGGTGGAGACCCCACCCCACCCACAGGGTCCCAGGCTCAGAGGTTCCTGGGAAGACCGTCACTGGCCACATTTCCTCTTCCACTACAGCCTCTTCTCAACCAAGCAGCCCCTGGCTCTCCCAGAGAGGGGGCTTTGCAAGGCACTATCCCCATTCGGGGAGGTGCTCAGGAAGCCACCCTGGTGCTCCAGTTGTGCCTCCATTTATGGGCAGCGCTGTGCCCTGGGCTTGCAGGTCAGGTCCTGCCAGTGCCCAAGAGGGAAGGGTTTGCGATGTCCCTGTCACACAGGATGGTGAGGCCCAGACAGCAGGTGCTTACCCCAGGTGCCCTAAGAGACAGTGGCAGAGCCAAGATGTAACCTGGCCTGTACAGTCCAGGACTGAGCTTCCATCACCTTCTTCAGCTGGGCCTCCCCACTTCTGTACCAGCAGAGGATCCCAACCCAATAATGATGGTGCCACAAGGTTTCAAGGATGTGTGACACACAGAGAGAGGGGGAAGCCACCATCTGATAAACATGCCACACTTCCAACTTGCCCTCCAGCCAGCTCACCACCACCCACCCACCCACCCATACAGCCACTCACTCATCCATCGCCCACCCAGACCCATCCATCTATCCATTCACCCATCCTTCCATCCATCCACCCAACCATCCATCCCTCCCTCAGTACTTACTGAGCGTCCACTGAGTGTCCCCATAGACCCTAATGGGATAGCCCAGAAGTGACATCGGCCCTGGACAAAGATTGACCAGTTGTGTAGAGACCACACACCTGGGCCAGTAACTGTGGGACAGCATCTGAGGATCAAAGACCGTAGCCTGGCATGACCTGCCCTCTCCACCCCCAGGAGCTGGCTCTGAGCTGACCCACTGGGACTCAATCCTGACTGGTGCCCTGAGGTTGAAGGGCCTCCTCTGGCTGTGGAACTTAAGTGCTCAAAGTTCCCTGTCGGTACCTGCTGGGCAAAGCACCCAGGCTCAGCAGTCCCCATCATGCACGGAGTCTCTCTCAACGCGGAGCCAGATGTGGCTCCCTTCATCCCAGTGGTAGAAGGGAGGGAAACAACAGGGCCAGAAGGGAGGGAGGCCCTGCTGCCCAGAGTCCTAACCAGCAGGGCTCCCTGAGGCCCCAAACCGCGCTGCCCGCTGCCCGGGGCGGTTGGCTCGAGGGTTCTGCAGGCAGGCAATGCAGCAAGGCGTGTGACTCCTAATTACTCCAGCGGGGCGAAGTGCTAACGCATGGCGTCTCAGGCCCAATTAACTAACTGGCCCTGGTGGGCTAAGAGGCCACAGCAGGTCTCGGGGGCTATGGCAGGCGCGTACAGAGGGCCTGGGCGACTTAGGTGAGTGGCAGCTTAAAGCGTGGATTAGGGGTGGGGGGTAGGGCCAAGGGGACAGGTGGTCTCTCCAGCGGGGCTAGGCGGGGCCCTTCCGGCCTTTCACCCTTCCATTTCTCCCAGAAAACCTCCAGATCCCTTCAGGCCAGAGTGGGTGGACTCCAGGGGCCACGCGGGAGGTCTGAGTGACCTTAGCACATCTCTGTCTCAGGCTCCCCTTGGGCAGGGGTGGGTAGGACAGAGGCAGGCGTGGGTAGGACAGAGGCAGGCGTGGGTAGGACAGAGGCAGGCATAGTCTATCTGGTGCCCGCACGAAGTCCCGCCTGGGCACCTGAATTCCTCACTGTGGGTTTGGAGAGGGGATGGGGCGAAGAGGGATTCATGCCACTCTTGGGGAGCTCCTAGGCACCCCAGACACAGCTGTCACATGCAGCCTGTCCCTTTTGCCTCTTTGCTGGCTTGCAGCTGGGCCCTGATGCTTCCTGCTATGTGTGGAAGCCAATGTCCTAGGTCACTAGGCTCTGCAATAGGACCTGGACAACCCAGGCGGTCGCCTGCTGTGTGTGCTATGCACTCAGCTGTCTCTGTGTCTCTCTCCCTTCAATGTCAACATCGCTGAAGAATCTGTAACCCTTCACTTTGCACCTGTCCCTCCATCCCCTGGCCTAGAGCTCCCCCTCCTGTCCTCGCTTGACTAAGTCTGGGCCCCACCTGGCCCTCCCTGCCCCTGGGGGTGGTACTTGCCTCCTCCTTCCTTCTACCCCTGCCCTCCTAAAAAGTCTCCCTCCAGAAGTGCTCTTCCATCCCTCCTGTCCTGTCTATCCCCACCACTCTTACTAACCAGGGTCTTGCCTTCCCTCCTGGACGCCAGCCTCTTGCCTCCTCCTGGCTTCCCATCTTGCCCACGGTACACATTTGTCTTAAGATGTCACTGACTGTGCCCCCTTGCTCTACAACCACCCATGGCTCCCCAGTACCCTGTCTTTCACAACCAGTTGTATCCGGGATTTGCAGCCTTGCACTCCACCTCCCATCCTGACCACTTTCAAGACAGCAACCCTCCCCCACCTCCCCCCCTTCCCTGTTTTTCTCCCTAGGCTAATGACATGTGACACATCCTCCATTTTAATTCTTTCAAATTCATTGATTATCTCCCACTAGAAGGCCAGCTCCATGACTTTTGTAGGTTGTTTTTTTTTTATTACTGTGAACAGCACCTAGGACACACTGAGTGCTCAATGAATGTCTACTCAGTGAATGAATAGTGAATTTCTACTCATACATCAAGACCTGGCAAAAATGCCCCTTCCATCTTGCCCTGGTCAGTGTTCAGAAGAGCTGACCAGGATGCCCCTCGCCTCTGTGCTCTCACTTCCCAAACTTCTGCGCCATTTGTAAATCTGAAACAGTCCCTTTCAGACCCCAACTGATAAAAGAGTAGGTGGGCTTTCATTGAGTGCTTTTTACTTTCTTCACCTCACTGTGGCCCCAAGATCGCCATTTCACAGCCAGGGAAACAGGCACAGAGTAGAGCCCCCTTGTTGTCCCATGGCTGGCCGACAAGCCCCACTCAAGTGTGTGTGTGTGTGTGTGTGTGTGTGTGTGACTGTGTGAGTCCCTGCCCTCCCAGGGGCTCAGAACAGCCAGGAGCCAAAGGCGAGGCGCCTCAATTAATCGCTTGAGCTAATCCTGCCTGCCCAGCCTCCAAGCTCTGTTGTCTGCTGGGCCAGTGCCCAGTGGATGCCAGCCCACGCTGGGGCTGCTGTGGGTGACAAGCGTCAGGCGCAGGTGGGCACAGGTGGGCAGGCAGGAGTGGGGTGCAGGGAACACAGCAGTGTAAGGAAGCAGCCTGTGGGGGCAGCAAACTGGCCTCCTCCTTCCTGAGGGTCAACACACAGAGCTAGACAGAGAGGCTATGGGGAGACACTGAGACAGAAATAATGGGAGGAGGGACAGATAAACACAGTGCGAGATAATCCCGGACAGACACACAGACAAATGGGGTGCAGCAAAAGCTGAAGGTGTGCTCAGGGTTCCCTGGTCCTCCCCCAGCCAGCAGTCTTTCCTGCTGTCTCACTGTGATCCGTCCTGCTTCATCCAACATGGCAGGGGCCATGATCCTAAGCCAGAGTGAGGGGCCAGGGGTGGAGGGTGGAGGCCCAGGGCTGGGCGAGGAAGTCCCCAAGAAAAAGCACCGGAGAAACCGCACGACCTTCACTATGTACCAGCTGCACCAGCTGGAGCAGGAGTTCAAGGCCTTCCATTACCTGGACGTGTACAGCCATGAGGAGCTGGCAGCCAAGGTGCACCTGCCAGAGGTGCTAGTGCAGGTGAGGGTGCCCCATCCCCCCCACACCTGGGAAGGTTTCTTGGAGGAGGAGGGAGCAAGGGAGCTGAGGCCTTGACGTTTCAGTAGTTTACCAGGTGGGAAGGAGAAAGGGTTTTTCTAGGCACAGCATGTGCAAACATGTGAAGGAGTTAGGTTGTAGGTGTTTTCTTTGAGCTGGGTGTGAGACAGGTGAAAGGAGACAGAGAAAGGAGCCAAAGACAGCTGTCAAAGGCCTCAAATGCCCAGCTGAGGAGCCCACCATCCTGCTGAGGACCAGAGGGAGGACAGAGAGCCCACCAACGAGGCAGGGCACAGTGATGAGTCAGGAGTGGATGCAGGGACAATAACGGGGCCACCGTTGGGAGTCGGGTCAGACAGCAGGCAGGACCCGCAGAGACTGGGAGACCCAGAGGGGCTCCACAGAGTAGGGAGGAGGGGTCCAGCCCCCATATCACTCTCCCTGCCCCTAGGTATGGTTCCAGAATCGCCAGGCCAAGTGGCACCACCAGGAGCAGTTAAGAGTCCAGCTCAGAGGCTCTGGCAGCCCAGAAGCTCCCCAAGGCCCCAGACCTGCCATTTGCCCACCCTCTGGACATGTCGCTGCCCCTGGAGGCCTGGGCTTCAGCTGCTCCAGCTGCTGGCCAAGGAGCACGGGCAGGCCCTAGAGGGAGCCTGGCCACTGGCCTGAGACTGGGCCCGTCCAGCTGCACTCCTTGGTCCACACCCAGGGCCTGGAACATGCCTGAGTGACAGCAGCCACCGTTAAGACCAGGATTTGTGGGTGTTTCTGCCCTCCTGGGCCTCAGTCCTCGATGTGTGCAATGGGCAGTGGTTGGGTTGTGGGATCGTGGAGCACGAGCAGCCAGGATGTGGGTTCTGTGCGTGGACGCATTCGAGCAGCTCTTGCTGCCCCATGCCGGCTCCCAAGGCCTCCTAGTCCTTGGAAAGTGACAACCACAGCAGTCCATTTCGTGTTCCCATGGTGTGCTTACTGTCACTATATCCCACCAGTGTCAACCACTTCACCCCTCCCACAGCTGGGAAGGGGGCACCATCATCAGCCCTTTACAGACTGGAAAACTAAGGCTCAGAGACAGAAAGCCATTTCCAGAGGTCACACGGCCAGAATGGACTGGGGCTGGTTTCCTAGTCTTGTCTCCTGATGCAGCGCTACAAGGACGAGGACAGCACCAGGTGCTAGGACAGGGAGCTGTGGGGCCTGTGCGTGTCCCCAGCCCAGTAAGGCAATGCCAGCCTCTGTCCTGTCTAGCAGACCACATCTCCCCAGGGCTCAGCAAGGCATGAGGAGCGGCCACCCTGTCAGAATGGGGCGTGGCTCTAGATCAGGAGGCTGTGAATGAGGTAGGACTGGAGCCTGTGACTGCCCAGAGCAGGCTGAGGGGACACTGTCCAAGGGGTGGGCCAGACACAGAACAATGGCCCTGGGTAGGAATGGGGACAATGTCAGAAGCTGCAGGGCCTAGGATTCCCCAGGAACCACACTCAACCCAGGTGCTCACTTCCCTGTGTCATCCCACACCAGATAGCCACCCAGCCCCAAGTGCCCCTCAGGCAGCCCAGGAATCTGAGCCTGAAGCAGCCTGAATGAGGGGTTCCCAGGGAGATAGGAATAAGCACCTGCCTCTAAATCAGGACAGTGTGGGAACCCCTGTGAACACCCAGCTCCCCTAGGGAACAAGCTTTACTTGGAGTCACTTACCAAGCAGCTGATGATTTGAACAGCAGCCCCACCCAAGTCCCTCTATCACCACCCATTCCATTTTTCTTTATTTTTGGCAGTACTGGGGCTTGAACTCAGGGACTACACGTTGAGCCACTCTACCAGCCCTTTTTTTGTGATGGTTTTTTTTGAGATAGAGTCTCACAAACTATTTGCCCAGGCTGGCTTTGAACTACGATACTCCTGATTTCTGCCTCCTGAGTAGCTAGGATTACAGGCGTGAGCTCATTTTCCTTTATCTACGGGGTGGTGGTGAACATCTCTCCAGGAGGACCTTTGGAGCAACCAGGCCCTGTTCCCAGCAGGAAATGTCACCTGGCCCATCATCCCTTAACCCATTGCTCTTTGACACACAGATTATTTAAGTTCTTGCATCCCTGTGGGCTGGGGTCCTTGGTCAGTCACTGTGGCAGTTCAGTCATGTCAAAACCAGATGAGTAGTCTTCCTACACCCATCAGCCCAACCACCTGCCTATCTCTTCTTCCACCATTTTCCCATCCACCTGTCCATCCACCCATCTACACCCTCCCTCCCACCCATTCACTGTCCTCCCATCCACCCATCCATCCACCCACCCATTCACCATCCTCCCATCCATCCATCCATCCACCCATCTGCCCACCCACCCACCCATCCATCCATTCTCCCATCCACCCATCCATCCACCCACCCATTCACCATCCTCCCATCCACCCATCCATCCACCCACCCATTCACCATCCTCCCATCCATCCATCCATCCACCCACCCAATATATCATATGGACCAGGCAGTAGGGTCATGACAGTAAAGGAGACACAAGATCTCTTTTTTAAGCTTAAATATAAAATGTCAGAGACATTAGAAGCGCCATAGAGGAAAAACAAGAAAAGCATCTGGGTGTGTGGCTAGAGTTCCAATTTTAATAGGGAGGTCTGGGGAGGTGACATCAGAGCAGAAACCAGAAGGTAAAGAAGACAGCCATGGAGGTGTTGAGGGAAGAGCATCCCAAGCAGAGGGCACAGCCTGTGCAAGGGGCCTCGGGCAGGACGGAGCCCGCTCTGTTGGAGAAGCAGTGAGGAGGCCCAAGTCGTTGGAACAGAGGGAGGGAGTGGGAGAAGGTGACAGGACAAGTGGGGTGGAGCCTGGTGGCTATTATAACTTTGGTGTGGACCCAGAGAGCCACTGGGGAGCCACAGGAGGATTGGAGAAGGGTGAGCATGACCCTCCAAGACTCAAAGGAGCACGTGATCACTCCCTCTGCCAGGCATGGGAGGGCAGGTGTGCAGTGATCCACTCTGCAGAGTCCGGCTCTCCTTTCCCGGGGAGAGGACAGGATTAGCCGCTCAAGTCTGCAGGAGCTGGTGGAAGCTGGAGGGTGGGTGGACCTGGCACAAAGCTGCCCCCTGGCCACGCACACGCACACACACACGCAGCAATTACAGGGGAAGGTCCTGGTTACCATGGCTGCTGCACTGCCCCTTAATGGCAGCACCCCCGGCCCTCTGATCTGTTGGGCCCGGCCTCACCTGCAGAACCCCACCTCCAGGCCCCTCCACCACAGGTGGCTGAGCAGCAGTCAGGATTCCAGAAGCCGGGACCAGGGTTCTCACGGGGCTGTGGGTCAGACGCTCAGGTCAGCAGACCCCAGGACATGTCAGGCAGGTGAAGAGGAGGCAGAAGGGAGGCTGAGGCACGGCTCTGGTGGACGAAGCAGCTGAGGACTTGGGTGAGGACAGCAGGCCCATGCCCTGGGCTTAAGTGACTAGCCAGCAAGGCCCGCCTGTGACACCAGTGAAAAGGAGGTGGCCGTCCCTTCCCCAAGCTCCACTTGCCAAGCAGGGTAGGGGTGGCAGGCCAGGATCCCTGAGGCTGTCCCTGCTCACGAGCACCACCCACTGGGAAGACAAAAGGATCAGAGATGGAAAGAGCCACAGATCTGACTCAAGCAGCTGGATCCAGCCATGGCCAAAGGCAGCCATCTACCCCTGACACTTCACTTCCAGAAGCTCACAGAACTTCTAAAGGTTTGGGTGTGGTATGAGGCCCCTGAAACCAAGAAAGGTTGACCAGGACAACCATAGAGGTTTCCTAGCCTCTTGGACAAGGCTAGGAAATCCCAGGGGCCATTGAAGACTGAGGTGAAGGAGAACCTGCAGAAGCCTGGCCAACTGCCAGGTGGAACTGACCCAGCTCCCTCCCAGCTGATATCAGACAGCGCTGAGGAGCACTGGGGTCCAGGAAGAAGTATTTACTGGCCCCAGGGCCCTGGCCCAGCCTTGCTGGGGCCACACAGAAACCCAGGTGCAAGTCGGCTTTCTCGCTGCGGCCACCCAGCTCCTCTCCTAGAACTTCCTGTTCTTGCTCAGACGGTTGTGGCGCCAGATGTTCTGTTTGCGCAGCAGCCGCCAGTACTCCCGGCTCTCAGGGTCCAGCTCCTCCAGCGTCTTGGGAGGGCCCACGTTCATCTGGAACAGCCTGGCAGTGGGGTAGGAGTCAGGGCTGCAGTGAGTGAGCCTGCAGCACCTGGGCATCCCTTGCACAGAGAAGGTGGCCAGGCTGGGGCCAAGTGCCACCAGGAGGGTGCATGATCTTGGGGGTCTTTCTGCTCCCCTGGGTCCATGGCTGCTCAGAGACGGCTGTTTCCACTTCAATGGCACTGATAGCTGAGGAGGGCACACCCCACACCCTGCCCCTAGCCACTGTCCTGTACTGCCTTTTATCTACCTTCCTGACCCTTCCCCAGCTCTCAGGACCTGCATGAGTCAGGGGTTTCCAGGCCCCACAGCTGCTCTTGGGGCCAGAGTGAGAGCTTCCCAGCAGTTTACAGAGCCTTGCATACCCTACCCTGTTTCCTCCCTGCCTCTCTCTTCCTTCTCTCTCCCTTAGTCTCTTGCTCCAGCCACAAGGCATCTTTGCTGCTCCTCCAACATGCCAGGCTTCGTACTGCCTCAGGGCCTTGGCACAGGCTGTGCCCCCTATCTCTGAGGTCCCTTCCCTTTCGCACCCCAGCTCCTGCTTCATCTTAACAGGGAAGCCCTCCCGGAGACCTCAGGCTTGATAAGCCAAGCCCCCATCTGTCCCTGCTCCCTCTCCCACCCCCTTCCTGCACTGTGGTCCCCACTGTATCTGCCCATCTGTTGCTTCCTGTCAGCTTTTAGCTTCCTTTGTGCACCTTTGGGTCCCTGGACCTGAGAAGGGGACCTGATATCCAGCCAGTGCTCATTAAGTATTTAGGTTTGGTTTGCTTTGGTGGTTCTGGGGTTTGAACTCAGGGCCTTGTGCTTATTAGGCAGGCGCTCTACCACTTGAGTCATGTCCCCCAGCCCTTAATAAGTATTTGTTGAAGGAAAAAAAAGACATTTCTGGCACTGCACACAGGTTCTGATTTCATACCCTCTGAAGGACATATGGTCCCCTCCCATACATCACCCATTTACAGATGGGACAACTGAAGCTTGGAGTAGTTAAGCCCTCAAGCCTGGACATCAGGACAAGCGGGTGTGACTATCTGACCTGATGGCTGAAGGAGGAGGCAACAGCTGGTCCAGGATGACCCAGCCCAGCCTACTCACCACTCGGGGTACTCAGCATCCGGTTTCAGGACCACATCCTGGCCATCCTTGTAGATGTTCACACCCATGGCATGTGTGGTAAGCTGGATGGGATCTGTGCACACTTCTGGGTCCTTCAGTGCCTCACTGACCACGCCACCTTTGCCACTCTTGGCACCCCTCATGACTGTGGGGAGGAGGGAGGAGTCATTTCCAGCTAGCTCAACCCACATGTGCCCCCTCTCTTTGCAGCCCCAGCTGGACTCTGACTTCTCCATTTAAAGGAAGTAGCACAGGGACCCGGCATTAAACAACACCAACGCTCCAAGTCACCAAGTCACTTCCTTTTAAATTCTATTTTGATTCCTTCTATTTATCTCACCAAGAAATCTCCCTTCACAGCCATGATATGACTTTAAGGTCTAACATTTGCCTATTTCCTCCTTTCAACAAAGGAGATCAGGCAACACTATATCCGGCTAAAATATAGTAACTAGCCACTCAGGAGGGAAAAGATCAGGAGGATCATGGTTTGAAGACAGCCTGAGCAAACAGTTTTTCAAGAGAGCCTATCTTGAAAAAACCCATCACAAAAAAGGCTGGTGGAGTGGCTCAAGCCGTAGAGCGCCTGCCTAGCAAGTGCTTAGCTCTGAGTTCAAACCCCAGTACCGCCAAAAACAATTAATATTTAGATGGGCTCCGTGTCTTTCCAATTCTCGGTGGTGACTGGCTTGCCCAAAGTCACACGGCAATCAGGACAGAGTCAGAAACTTAACAGGAGTCCAAGTTCAAGACCTATCACGCCTACATCAACCCGCGCCTGCGCAGTGAAACGCGTTCCTCTGCGGAAAGCACGCTCATTCCGAGCCTCTGGGCTTCGCACCTGCGCCTGCGCACTGAGTGCAATCGTCCCAGTCCCGCCAGGCGCCCGAGCCCCAAGCAGCCCTTAAATCCCTCAAACTGCGCCTGCTCAGACAGCCCTCGCGGCTGTATATCTGCACTTGCGCAGTAATTCTTGGCTCCACCTCCCCATCCGGCGCCTGCGCACTACCAATTCCTCATAGTACCCGCCGTGCCCATCTTATTGCCTGTTAACTCGGCTTACCCGGTTTTTTTGCATAGTCCCGGACCAGCAGTCTCCTAAAAGCGGCAGGGTCTGGGAGCTCCCGGGTCGCCCAGCCGGCCCACGTTCGAGTATCCCTGAGAAGACGTCTGACCGCCATGACGTACGCCGGCTGCTTGCACGTGCACGTTTCCGTGAGACGTAGTGGCCCAGAGGACTCTTGGGAATTGTAGGACCTTGAGGACTTCTGGGAAATGTAGTCTTCCTAGTCTTAGACATTACAGTTAGTATGACTTTAAATTTTTGTAAGACATACCCAGTTCCTAGATAAGAAGCTTTTCAAAGGATATTTCACTAACTACTTACCTTCTTTATTATTTATTTACTTAAAATGTCACACCTTATGTATTACTGATTCCATTTAATGAGCAATTATTGAAAGTCTAAAAGTAAGAAAAACTAATACTTAATAGGCTTTTACTGTAGTCCAGACCTATTCTAAATCCTTAACCCGCTGGAACACACACACACACACACACACACACACACACACACACACACAAGGTTGCTGGTGTCCTGAAGTCACAGAGACTACCCTCTCTTCCCATGTGTTATCACAGCATAAGACATAAGAGGCAGGCAGTAGTTAATAGCTTCGTTTTGCAGTAGAGAGGCCAGCCCGCGTGCATGGAGGCCTAGGATTCGAACCCGCGCTCCCACCCCCCACCGCAACCCTACCCCCTCACCCCCATCCCCACCCCCGTCCCCCATGTGTGACAAGACAGACCGTAGGACTACATTTCCCAGCAGGCGTCGCAAGACTGCTCATGCCCACTGAGCCGGACGCCGAGCAGACAGAAGAGCGAGCGCCGGGGCCGGGGATCGGCGAGCGGTGGCGGCTGCTGAGACGACCGACGGCGATATGCCGGGGCTGGCCGGGCGGCTCGGGGTTCTGGGAGCCGCGCGGGGCAGAGACGACCTCGGTTTGGGAAGTGAGTGTCCCGGCGGGGAGGGGGATCAGGGCCCGGCGCCTGAGGTCTGGGGTCGGTGTTGGGGTGACATGGGAGGTTTGGTCTATTTGGGGGCATCTTGGATCTCAGACTGTCTGAGGTCCTGGGTCTGCGGCCTTATAGAGCGAGGGCATTGAAGAGCGCTGTGTCCCCAGCCTGGGTCCCACGTCGCGAGAACTGGGAACGACCACCGCTCTAGTGGCGGAGGCGGAGGCGGGCAGGAGTCAGGGTGACGGGGATCGGAAGGCTGCCCCCCCCTCTTTGCCTTAGTTTACTCATCTGTGAGCCTGGGACCCCGACATCCCCACAGGGCCCGGGGGGACTCAGTTCTGTGAAACCGGCTTCCAACCTCTGTTTCAGCCGCGTGAAGATGCCTGCCTGAGCCTGGGACTCTGCATGGAGTTCCTCACCACCCCGCAGCCCCTCTCAGGGCCTCCAGCTATGGACTTGGAGGAGTCCAAGGGCTCCCCCGTGACCTCCGAGGACCTCAGCCCTGACAGCCGGTGGGACCCAGAGCCTGGAGGCTCGGGCAGCCTGACTCAGATGGAATTGGACGGGTCAAGCATTCAGGACCTGGTGCGACAGTTTGAGGCTTTGCCCAGTGATCTGGTGGGCCTGGCCCCAGATGGAGCCCCTTGCCCTCTGCACATTGCCACTGGCCACGGCCTGGCCTCCCAGGACACTGCCGATGCCCATGGGCTCTTGTCTGCTGAGGCTGGCCGGGAGGACTTGTTGGGCCTCCTGCAGTGTGAGGCGTGCTCCCCTTCCCAGCCGAGTCCCCCAGAGCCTCCTCAGCCTGCCCCTCGCCTCCTGCAGCCCCCTGGGGACTCAGGTGGGGGGCCTGCCTCCCCAGAGTGGGCAGATGGAGCCTCTGCAGAACAAGAGGACAGCAGAAGCTCAAGCAGCTCCCCTGAGCCCTGGCTGGAGACGGTCCCTCTGGTCACACCCGAAAAGTCACCTGCTAGTGCCCAGGTAGTGCCTGCTCTAACCCTTCAGTTGGCCTGCATGGCCTGGAGCTGAGCAGGGGGACTCAGCCCTGCTCCTCTTCTGTCTTCTTCCAGAGTCCTGAGACCCTGGCCTCGTGCCCTGCCCTCCAGGAGGGTGAGTGTCTTTCCCTACCCCTGTCCAATGCCTGAGGATCCAGACCTCAGAACCAGGCCCCCAAAGTTGGCACAAAGTTTGATGATAAGGACAAGGTTCTAGGAGGCCTTGAGGGCAGTTTTGAACAGATTCCACGTGGCCAGAGAGAGGAGACACACTGCAGAGAATGTTCTAGAGTGAGTCCAGGGTAGCAGGGCAGGTGTGGCTATTGGTAACACTTGGCTCTAGAGCAGAGGTTAGCAGATGACCACCTGCTGGTCAAGTCTAGTCCCTACCTGCTCTGGTAGGTCTCATGAGCCAAGAGTGGATTTTGCATTTTTAAATGGTTGAAAAAAATCAAAATTGAAATGTGAAAATGATGGGCAATTCAGTCTGTTAGTAAAATTTTATTGGAACACAGTCACACCCACTCAAATAAATGTTGTCTGTGGCCACTTCAGCAGAGAGAAATGCAGTCATGTGCCATATAACAGTTGACCCATAGGATTATATGGTCTATTCAGCCATGGTGGTGCATGCCTGTAATCCCAGCTACTTGGGAGGCAGAGACAGGAAGATCACTATCCAGGCAAAAGCATGAGACCCTATCTGAAAAGCAAACTAAAAGCAAAAGAACTGGGGGCATGCTTCAAGTGGTAGAACCCTTGCCTAACAAGCACAAGGCTTAGTTCAAACCCCTGTACTGCCAAAAAAAAAAAAAAATTGTGACCTAGTGATGTGGCTGTCTTCATTTGTTTTCATCAACACTTTGACATTCACATTTCTCACAGTGTGAGAACCAACTTGACTATAGTTTCAGTGGAGATCATCTGGCCCACAGAAATGAAAATATTGAAAAAGTTTGCCCAGAAAAAGTTTGTTCTAGAATTCTCTCCCAAACCACCTTAGGATATAAATCAAAGCAACTTCTGTGGTGGTAGGGAGGGGAGCTGCTTTGGACCTGTGTCTCTGAGAAGGTTCTAGAGTGGTGGGTGCGGCTATGACTCACCTATGGAGTTCCAGACCTTGCCAAGACACACAGGGACAGCTGCCTCCTTCTACAACCAAGGAGTACAGATGCCTGTTTTCCTGGACAACCCGCAGAGGATTCCAGAACAAAGGAGCCAGGGATGAAAAGTATTCTGAGTTAATGCAGAGCTGTCTGGGTCTCCTTGGACTGCAGAAGTTCTAGAATCACAATATGAAGAGAGCTCACCTGCTGTTCTAGGCCAGTGGTATTCTAGAACCCTGGGCAGAGCTGTCAGCCTACTGTGATCAGACAGTTGTAGAGCAGAACTCTACAATAGAAATATGTGAGCCATATGTGATTTTGAATTTTCTAGCTGGCCAAGTCAAAAATCTCAGAAACAGGTAGAATTACCTTTTTCATATATTTTAACCCAGTATAGTTAGTATATTGTTTATTATACAGTCAGTAATTTTCAGGGTTTTTTTTTTTACTTTTTTTAACATTAAGTCTTCAAAACCAAGAATGTATTTGCACTTCACAGCTCATCTTGGTCAGGAGCTGCCTTGTTCTGATGTGTCCCGGTCTTGGGGGCCTGGTGGCTACCACACTGGCAGCACGGTTCTAGAATCCTAGAGTGGAGCCGTCATCTGTTATTTCAGAAGGCTTAGATCAGGAAAGACCACAGACAGTGCTTACTGGCTTCAATTCCCTGAGAGGTGTCTAGAACTGGGACCTGTTGTATCTGTGATTCTAAACCAAAGAGCAGTAGCTACTGGCTGGAACATTCTAGAATCAGTGGCAGTACTGTCTGGCATGGGGGAATGTAGAACCTTGGGGTGAAGCTTTCTGTGGTTCTGGGCTGAGTTGAGGGGGGAGAGCAGCCATTCTAGAATGCTCTTAGAGCAAACATGGTTTCTCAACTGCTCAGGTGATTCTTAGAACAACCACAGCAGCTGAGGTTGGGAACTACTTGAGATTCTAGAACCACAGAAGAGCTACCCAATGCTGTCAGGGTTTAGAAGTTCCAGAATCGGGACTGTGGGTGCAGCTCAGTGGTAGAGCACTTGCCTACCATGTGAGAGGCCCCTGGTTTCATCTTCAGCACAGAAAAGTTCTGGAATCATGCTGTGAGGAAGTTGGTTTCTAGAATCCCTGATGGAACTGTATGTTAGGGAGCTCTGGAATAGGTCAGAGCCACTGGGGTCTGGACAGTGCTGAGTTTTACACATGTGGACGGACAACTGTTTCTTACAACCAAGAACTAGAGTTGCCTGTTGTCCTGGGCTGACTGCAGAGGATTCTAGAACACAGGACCCAAGTTGGCTGGGTCTCCATTGAAGCAACTCCAGAGCTGTGGGGGAGGGGTTAGCTTTGGGATTTTAGAAGTCAGAGCAGACCATATGGTTCCACGTTGATCACAGAGTTCTAAGAGTGCCTGAGGGTGGTATCTAGCCTGGCTCTGGACCCCCAGAAGGCTTCTAGTATGGGGAACAGTGCCCGGGAGTCCTTGGGGGTGAAAGTGGGCGGGAGAGGTAACTGGCCCTAGACTGACAGGGCTCTGGACCTCTGAGGGCTGAGCCACATTGATGATTATGGAGCAGGGGACAGAACCCAGAGGTAGATAGGCCTGGCAGAGGCTCTAGAGGCCCACCCTCTTGCCACTCCTGCCCTCAGTATCTGGGCCCTGTGACCACGAGGACCTCATGGACGGTGTCATCTTTGGTGCTAAATACCTGGGCTCCACCCACCTGGTGTCAGAGCGGAACCCACCCCCCAGCGTGCGCATGGCGCAGGCCCAGGAGGCCGTGGATCGCGTCAAGGTGAGGTGGGGGCGAGGAGGACAGGGAACTGGGCCCGTGGTGGTGGGGGGTCTCTTAGGGTCTCCACCTCTGCCACTTCCCCGCAGGCCCCCGAGGGCGAGAGCCAGCCCATGACGGAAGTGGACCTCTTCGTCTCCACCAAGAGGGTCAAGGTCCTCATACCGGACTTGCAGGTATGGGGCGGGGTATCATAGCCACAGGGGCGCAGGGGCCTGGCGAGGCCCACAGCCCACAGCACGTGTCCCCAGGAGGCCATAATGGACCACGCACTGCAGACCGTCTCCTACATCGCGGACATCGGCCCTATACTGGTACTCATGGCGCGGCGGCGGCTGGCACGAAGACCAGCACCCCAGGACCGCAACCACCGCCTGTACAAGATGATCTGCCACGTCTTCCACTCCCAGGATGTGAGCAGCGGGAGCCTCATCGCCCTGGGAGGAGGGGAGCACAGGCCTCACCCCTGCTGCTTCCAAAGCTTCCCAGTGCTCTGAGCCTCCTGGCCCAGATAGAGCTGGAGAAGGCCACTTGCAGCCCCCTGCAGTCAGGGCCAGTCCTCTTCTTGGGAGGACTCTGAACGGTTATTGGAGGAACCCAATAACCCAATTGGAGATAGGGCTTTGAAGTATTTGTAGGAGTTTGCTAACCTTGAATGCTGAGGCTTACTGGTCTCTGCCTAGCACAGAGACATCCTCAAGTTAACGGAAAATTCACAGTCTGGGGCCACCAGCTCTTCTCTCTGTAATTACAAACAGCTCCCCAGGGCGGGAAGCTGTCCCCTGAAGATCATGTCCCAGATGGGAGACCTGAGGGGGGGATGCCCCAGGGTCACACCATGTCTCCTCACAGGCCCAGCTCATTGCTCAGGCCATCGGCCAGGCCTTCACGGTAGCCTACAGGCAGTTCCTGCGGGAAAGCGGCATCGACCCCAGCCAGGTGGGCACCCGGCCGAGCCAGGGCACCGCGGGCCCCGGCCACCTGCACAACGGGGACCTGGACCACTTCTCCAACAGTGAAAACTGCAGGGAGGTGAGGAGCCGCCCTCGCTGCGCACCCCCCAGCCGCCCACGCAGCCACCCGCCGATCACGGGCTGGGCCTCCGTCCCCCAGGTGTACGTGGAGAAGCTCCGCGGCGAGGGCCTGGGCGTGGCCTTGGTGGAATCGGGCTGGGGCTCGCTGCTGCCCACCGCCGTCATCGCCAACCTGCTGCACGGGGGCCCCGCCGAGCGCTCAGGCGCCCTCAGCATCGGGGACCGGCTCACCGCCATCAACGGGGCCAGCCTGGTGGGGCTGCCCCTGGCCGCCTGCCAGGCCGCCGTGCGCGTGAGTCCTCCCGCCAACAGGACAGGGGACCAGGCCCCAGTTGACGGGTGGGTAAGCTGAGGCCCCAAGGGACTGCCACCGGCCCCCATATCCCGCAGGAGGTGAAGCCGCACACGTCGGTGAGGCTCAGCATCGTGCACTGCCCACCCGTCACCACTGCCATCATCCGGCGGCCGCACGCGCGCGAGCAGCTGGGCTTCTGCG